AGAGGGGAATGGCCTTGTGCACAGAGAAAAACAGAAAAACATCTCCGATCTGGGTTGTTTGTTGAGTGTGTGGGCACTGTCTGGGGACAGGCAGCATCTCTGGGTTGTCTACCTCCTCCTCTTCTCAGTGCTGCATCCTCAGGTGGCTCCTTGGCTTCCTAGCTGAGCAGCCCCTCTCTTATTTTCATATTGGAGCAACCATAATAGATTCCTAGGCTGTCAGAACAGAGTACCACGAACTAGGTGGCTTAAAACAACAGAAATTTATTATCTCAAGTTCTAGAGGCCAGCAGTCTAAAATCAAGGTGCCAGCAGGGCTGTGCTCTGTCTGAAGGCTCTTGGGAAAATTCCTTCCCTGCCTCTTCCTAGCTCCTGGTGTTGCAGCAATTCTTGGTTATCTCCGACTTGTGGCTGCAACACTCCAATCTCTGCCTTTGTCTTCACAAGGCCTTCTTCCCTGTGTGTCTCTCTGTGCATATGTCCTCTTTTTGTAACATGCCATTCTCTGGATTTAGGGCCCACCCTTATCTACTATGACCTGATCTTCATTAACTAATTATATCTGCAAAGATCCTATTTCCAAATAAGGTCACATTCTGAGGTTCTGGGTAGGTAAGAATTTTGGGGGAAGATTTATTCAACACACCACAGTGACTTCAGCCACTGTCCAGAGTGGAGCCAGCTCCATGTTCCCTGGTTAGCGTTCAGGCCATGGTCTCTCAACACATTTTGGTTGAAGGTGATGATTATAGCGGCCATGGGTTAAGAGATGGATTTGATCACACGATGTGCAAGGAAAGAACAATGAGTGCAAAACTGAACTGATTTCAAGGTCTGAACCTGAGTCTATATGAAATTCATTTCTCTGAGGGACTCCTTAATCATAAAGCGAAACAGAGATGACTAATAAAATAACCTCACTTATTCTTACCTCCTAAGCCTCTCCAATATTTTGTCACATTTGTTTGGGGCCATATTTAAAAATTTTTCTGTTAAAAATGGATGCTTGAATCTGGCAGAATTGGAGGAAAAGGAACAACTAGCGAACGGGAAGAAATGAAGAAGGCAGTGTTAGTGCACCTGGGATTGGGGGTGGTGGGGAAGAGGCAGCGGAGGCAGAGCATAGAGATGAAGCCCTTCCCTTCTGATCACACACAGCTCGAACCCCCGCAATCCCACCTCCCCACGCCGCCAGGCCTCTCACAATCTAGCTGCCATCATCCTTATCAATTCAAGCCTCCAACAAAATGTAAGACCTTTTTTTTCCCATTTCTATCCTTTTTCCTCAGTGACAGAAAGATACTCCAGGAACACATAGATAGATCTGCTTTTTAAAAATTCAATTTCTTGTCTCCAAATGAATTTCAAATGAAAAAGGACTAAGGGAATTAACTTTTCATTTTATATTTCACATGTGCTTAAATTTTTGCTATGTCAACATGATATAGCTTCCCATGAAGATTTTCCATTCCTTTCCAGAGAAGGCAAAGCAAGTGTCTCCTCTCTTTAGAATGTTCCTTGTGTATGTGCCTCCTTCACTAGTCTGGGACCTGGAGGTGGTAGGGAATGGGTTGGCATTGGGGCATGAAGTGGGAACAGCCACAATATCTACTGCCTAGAGGAAGGTCTGAGAAACTGGACAGAACCTATTAAGCCTGCACGAAATTGTCTAAAGACAGAATAGTGTCAGCTTGTCAGGTTCTGGCTAAGACTTAGGCATATTTTACTGACTTAAATTTATCTCTAATAAGCTTTTGGACATTTACAAGCAATATAATTTGCATTCATAATTTTTTTTCCAAAAAATGAAAAGATGACCTCTTTAAAAATAGTAATTCCTTAAATTCTTAACCTTGGCTCCCCACCCTGAAATCACATAAAGTCTGAATCCTGCTAGGAAAAAAAATCAAGAGTAATGATTTTCAATAATGACCTGATGAATTTAGTTTTACCTACCGCATGCTTCTTCTGCTGGATTTCTAAGCTACACTAATTTAGGAAATAGTATTCTAGGAAGAGTTTTATTTTCTTGGACGTTTTATTTTCTTTATATTTTCCTGAAACAATAGCTACAGAAGCAAACCAAAAATATCAACTCATCTTAAAGTCACTGGCAAAAGAAGAAAGGAGTCTGAGTACTGGAAAACCAATGTCAACATTATTATCTAGAATATGCCTTAAAATATAGTCTTATCTTAAAACACAAGAAGGCGCCCATAGCTCTAGTTGTCTATGTGAACATTAAAAGTGGAGGTCAAGAGAAGAGACTTGCATTGGACTGAGTGGCTAACACTATCGAAGGTACCCAAGCACTCCGTAGGCCCTAGCAGGGAAGAATTTGAAGTAAGAAAGAAGGGAGAGGGAGAAGACCACCGGCATTTAAAAACCAAATGATGTTGGCCACTTGGATGCCACTCCGTTTATCTCTGGAAGCAAACTTAAGGAACCAACAGAGAGGCAAGTGTTGCCCTGTCAGCAGTTGGTGGTGGTTGTGTATTGTTTTAAGCCCAGATCTGTTAGCAGTCTCCTATCCCCTAACTTTGTATTTCCTCTCTGTGTGGCACGGTGGGGATGGTCTGAAACCATAGTCAGGATGTGGCTGAAGTCCTGGCTTCACGACTTACCACAGATGAGCTCACTCGGCTTACGATGCATATGAGAATCAACAATGTATCTGAAGTGGAACTTTCAGGCTGCTGGGAGACAGGGATTTTATGAATAATAACAGTTACTTTAATTTTACTTCAAAATCTAGTCTTTATTGATGGTGCATCTCAAACTCCCCTACAAGACTCCTTTCAGCACTGGGTAGCCACTACTGCCCTCCATGACGGTATCTCAGTGCATCATTTCTATGCTCAGCCCAATCTCACCTGACCCTTCAAGCCTTTTTCGACCACACCTGGCTGTCAGTCACTTTCTCACCAGTTTTTCCTCCTGTACTGCCATGATCACAACACTAAATTGCCACTAGGCAGTTGTGCTGGGGCTGAGTTTCTGCAGGGCAGAGGCTGCCCTCTCTCGGCCTCCTTAGCCCTCCCCAGCACACGGCAGGTGATCAGCAAACACTCCTGGGATAAAACAGCTGCAAGGCAGAAGCAGCACAGGAAGTCATTTCTTTAATGTGAACAACAACTTGGCTTTATTGGAAGAATGAAGAATGTAAATCTAAAGCCTTCTATCAAGATATGGATGGCATCATTTTTTGCTTCCTATTATGTATTATGTGGTCACTCCCAGCCAGCAGCAGAAGCAGCAGCAAGTGTCAAGCTACTGTAGGTGGGAATAGACAGGGATGGGGAGTCATTCTGGTCTCACCAAACTGTACTCTGGCACCACAACCCAGACCCTAAACTCAGCCAGATGATGTGTAAAGGGGACTCGTGAGCCTACAGTGGTCTAGCTTCTTCATCTACTTTTTCATCAAAGGATGTCAAATGTACTTTCATAAAGGTGGTAGCCTACCTCCTTTCAAACACCATGAAGACATACTTATGCTACTATATTAATCAGAGAGCATTTTAACAGACAGAGCTAGCCAGGTCCTTCTTGATTACACTTCTACAATCGCTTCTGAGACAGTTCCTTCTGCAGTCTTCACTATGGGCCCTGACACTCTGAAAGTAGGGAATGCTAGCAAGGGAAAAACACTTTTAAATAGTAGCGAATAAGTGACATGGAAAAATCAGGCATGGGAGTTCAGAAGTGCCTACAATTTTAGCTTTGGGGGAGTTATATCTCTTCTGGTGGGACAGACATTTTCTAAAGGATAACAGAATTTAAGGGGTTATGAAATGGATGCCTCAGTAGAGGGTTTCAGAGTACTGTATATTTGGCACATGGTAGCACCTATCCAGAGAAATCATGTCAGATGTTCATGATTTCGTGACTCGGATGAAAAGCAGAATTGTCAGAGGATTCCCACTCCTGCCCATGAGGGCTTGTAGATATTCGTGGAGGCAGGCTCTTATCTTGCTCTGTGCACACACATTCACACAAACACACACCGCCTCTTAAGACTGGAGGCTGAGAGCATTGTGATGAATATTCATGAGATGATGATTATTAATACCACTGAGGTGATTTTGTTTCTTCTCAGTAGAGACTGGTTGTTATACCTAGAAACTGATCAACTGTAGGAGAAATGGCAGCTTTGAACCATTCCAACTAAAGCAACCCTGTATGTTTTACTTTCAAAATACAGATTATTTGGCAAGGTGTTTTTAATCACCCCTTGTGCCCCTATCCCAGCAACTTCACCCAGCAGAGATTTGCAACTTTGGTTCAAAATACACTTTGGGGAGCAGAGTTTCTAGAGTTTAGGAGAATTATATCTTGATAACTACTTTCCTTCCTAAGAGCAAAAATTAAACAAGACATAAAGTTGATTTTAAGAAATCTCAATAGATTCCTGGGGGATGATTTCTGTGAAAAATGTATCAGGAGAGAATTACAACACATTTGCTACTTTTATTATTTAAAAAACCATTTAATATAACAGGCCTTATTAAAGAGCTATTCCTAAGAATTATAGATTCTTACAGTCAAACAGAGAATTTTTAAAAGAAGAATATTTTTAAAAATAGCTACTTGCGACAGTTAACCAGATCCCTATGTACCTGTTATGAACTCTGCCCAACCAGTCAGCCTGCCTGGTTGTGCTATATGCATGACATAATGTGAAATTACCGAGAATGACTGTTTTCAGCCAAAAAAAATGACTTATTTGGGGTTGGAATAAAAATGTTTGTTTTTCACTTTAGATCTAAGAAATCGTGTGAAATAAATCTAACACTGATTAGGTAGAGAAAGATACCTATATGTCTTTATTACCTGGTTAGAAACTTTTAAAATCAACTTCTTATACTCCGTTGCCACATAAACATTCATCTTTTCAGAATGGTCTGATCCTCAGTAAAAGAGCCATTAAAGCTATGGAAAGAGACAGTGTCTGGCCAGGGGAAGATGGTGGGAGGAGGCACTCGTGACACAGGACTGACCTTAGGCACCCGGTGGCGTTACGCAGCACCTGTGATGAATGCAGCTGTATTTTCCGATCATCCTGAAGAGGCGAATTTTCCCAGCCTGAGTGAGGGATAATCACTGCGTTGGTCAGTACTGCCAGGGCATCCTGGATGATTGGCATTTTGAGTGCATCGCATGAGGAGAGGTTCCAAAGGACTCCTGCAAGAGACACACAAAAAGAGCTTTTGGGTGACCACGAGTTTCTCTCATCTCAAAACTATCTTCCTTATTTGAGTTAATGGCACTGGCAGGAAGGATGAAGATACTGTGGACACACATCCTAGAGTGTACCCTTGATTTTAGAACATTTGTGTGAACCCATTAACAGCATTCTGTGAAAAATCTGATGAGTGAGCAGAAGAACTGTGACACCAGTATGTTTATTTCCTCATGGTGCATAATCAAGGTTGAGAGGTCTGATTGAACTGAGGCTACCAACAATGCTTTTGTTCCATTTTAATACAATGGACCCAAGTTGCTAAATTCTAATCAAGACCAAAGAGATGTGAAAGGTTTTTGAAATGGACTAGTAGAGCATCTTTGTTTTACCGAAGACCTCAGTGTGCACATGTGGTTGCCATGAAAGCTAAGTGCTTTCATAAACAACCAGCTACCATGGGTAGGACCTTATCAGAATCCAGCATCACATCAGATGACAACTGGCTCAACAAGCAATTTAAACTGTTGCCCCCTGTGACAGTTTTGTCAGCTTTTCTCTGAAAGCAATGCTCATGGAGGACCTACAGAATGTTCCTCCTTCAGTAATGACAAAGGGAGAGGTGAGAAGAAGAGGGCATGTTCACAATGGACAGAGCATCACAGTAATTCATGCAGGCAGAGCAATGCAAAATGTTAAGGACAAATAGAATGCTGTAGGCTTTCAAATATTTTTAAAAAGGAGATATTCTAGAAAAGGTCATAAACATTGCATATATATTATAATATTATTTGAAAATGCTTTTAAATAATTATTCTTTTTTTGTTAGAACAGTATACATAAAGAAAAAAAGAAACAGAGAATAACATTCTATTTTTCTTTGAAAGAAAGCCTGTATACACCCTTAACCTAAACAGGTACCATCACTGCAGATATTGGAGATAAAATACATAGTTATCTTTAGAAATAGAACTCCTAGCTTATATTTTTAACGAGCTTTCAATATATTTTAATGAAATGGGATTTTGTTCCATCTACTGTGTTAAGAATAGAACAAACGGAACATATTTATTTCTAAAATTTGTTTTATTGGTTCCTTGCATTGCACATGTTGAACTATCCAAGAACATTAATAATACAAATCTGACTGTTAATAACTAAATAAGTGACTATAAAAATAAAGTGACTATAAAGTTCAACAAAAATGTGACTACAGAGGCAAACTCAGCTGTCTTTAGAAATAACATTTACTGGAAATTTTATTTAAGTGAATGCAAAGAAAACAAAATGTTTTTAGTGCCTGGCATGCATAAAATAATCCTTCAGTACAGGGAGTTAATGTGAAGGCAAATCTAGCTTGTCTTTTTTATGAATAAATTTTTATTGAAGCACAGCCATGTCTGTTCATTTCTAAATTTTTTACATCTGCTTTTGTCCTATGAAGGAATTGCTAGGTATTAGTAACAGAGACTGTACAGCCCACAAACCATAAACCATTTACAAACTGTCCCCTTACGGAAAAATTTTGTCCACCCGTGCTTTAGTGAATTTGACCATTTTATATACACTTTTGTTTGTGCTTGTATCGCCATTAGTATCCTAAATCGAGTACACAAAAAATGCTCAATGGTACACAGAAGGTGCTCAGAATATATTCTGATTTGGACTGATTTGAAATGCTAGGAATATTAACATATACATTTATCCTGTTTTAAATAAAATACAAAGCTGCTTATTCATCCATTGAGAAACATTTTACCAAATTTTGGTAATCTAAATAATCAAAATAACTTCCTTCAATCATTTCCAGCCTCATAAAAATGTTATTTTTAGAGTAAAATAATTGATTTTGCAGTATTAAATAGTATATTAAAAAGAAATCAGTATCTACCCCAGCATTTAAGGATAACTTTCAGGAATATCACGCTAACGCATTTGTGTCTGCTCTTCTAAATATACAATGCAAAAATACAGGAACAAAATGTGCATTTTTTTCATTCCCAAATCCAGACTTAAAATATCAATATCTAAAAATTGAGGCTTGTAAATGTTTTAAAATATGGGTGACATATTTTGCTGTACAGTATATACCCTTTAAAAACTAAATGGCAGGCCGGGCATGGTGGCTCACGCCTGTAATCCCAGCACTTTGGGAGGCCAGGCGGGTGGATCACGAGGTCAGAGTTTGAGAGCAGCCTGGCCAACATGGCGAAACTCCATCTCTACTAAAAATACAAAAAGTAGCTGGGCGTGGTGGCGTGTGCCTGTAATCCCAGCTACTCGGGAGTCTGGGGCAGGAGAATTGCTTGAACCCGGGAGATGAGGGTTGTAGTAAGCCAAGATCATGCCACTGCACTCCAGCCTGGGTGACAGAACAAGACTCTGTCTCAGGAAAACAAACAAACAAAATAGCAAAGAGAAATCTTTGCATTTTTACATGCAACGAATATGAGAGTCTAAAGGCTTTCTATGAGAATACAGCTATTTTTACTGTTTTCTTACAAACAGAAAACACAGGGAAAGGGAGGAAGGAAATCCAAGAAAATCCAAAGGCCAAATCTAGTATCTGAGAAGAAGTGAAGGAATAGAAAGGCAAATGCAGTCTGGGTCATCTTTTTATAGTCTGTTCTATCTCCTTCACCTTTCCCATTAATTCATTAATTAGTATAACCTAATTCAGAATCATGCACAAACAGAAGTTCACATTCATTCCACCTTTCCAGGCTGTCTCCATTTGCGAGTCACATTCCAGTGAACTGATCACAGTACTTGATCCATATCTCTGAACCTTCTATCTTAATTTATAACTGCAATGCACAATGCTTCCTGAACTCATTACAACTGCAATGAATCTCTATCGAACCACTTTATCACCTCTGGATGAAGTCTTGGTAAAGTGGATGTAACGTGGCAGATTTTCTCGAGGGGGAATTCAGCAAACCAGCTGCAGAGGGTCCTCAAAATTTTGAGTTTTGGTTAGATGATCTGGACATGAGATAGGTTTAAGTATAGAAGCAGCAGTTTCTGGAGACAACTGAGATGAAGACTTACATCGTCCGGCAGAAGGAAAAGCGGGAAACAACTGGGAATTCCACATCTTTCCTGCTACACACACCACACACACACGCACGCACACACGCACACGCACACACACACGCACACACACGTCTTGACTGATGGGAGAGAGATTAGTGGAGAGAACTGGACGTATCTAGGCATCCTCTGAACTAAGGGAAAATAAATTTTTTGCTCCAACATTTATTTCACTCCTCCCTCCCCTTTTCCATACAGGTTTAAAATATGTCCACAAATTATTGGACATTTCCTTCAAATGGTGGAGCCTAATCCTTCTCTCCATGCATGGGGATTCGATTTAGTGACTCACTTGTGACCAATGAAACATGGTGGGAGTGACTGTGACTTGAGACTAGGTCATTAAAAAGGCCTTGTGGCTCCCTCCAAGCCCTCTCTCACATTGTTATTTGAGGAGAAGCCAACTGTCATGCCATCATGACCCTCAGGCAGCCTTATATAAAGAATTAGGGCTTTCAGCCAAAATTTTGGAAGTGGATTTTCCAGCCCCAATCAAGCCTTCGAATGACTGCAGCCTCATGAGAGACTCCGAGCCAGGACCACAAAATCCGCGGCTCCTGCTTGCACTCCTCGCACTTACACAGTGGGTGACGTAAATGTTGGTTGCTTTAAGCTGCTAAATTGTGGAGGAATTTGTTATGCAGCAATAGACAATATAGCGTCCCTTTCCTATGAAGCGCCTACTCTCTCTGTTGCTTTCTTCTCTCGGCTTCACTTTCCTATCCCTTTGTCTTTCTACAATGGATGGACTCATTTTTCCCTCTTGCCTTTCCACTACACTTTAATTCTTATTCCTCTCTTACCTAAATCCACTTGTTTCCTTATTCCTTCCAAATTCCAATGTAAGAGTATACAAGATATAGCAAGGATGATCCAGCTACACTTTGTAACTAAATTTAAAATGCATTTTAAGTGAAAAGAATTTAATTTTTAAAAGTGTATCATTCTTCATGTTTGCAATTCAGTAAGTGACCCAACACTTTCTTTAATTTGGAATAATCCTGCTCTTATTTCCAATTGCTGCCTTAACAAATCTCTACACAGGGGCTTGAAAAACACAAATTTCTAGGTTCTGGAGGTCTGGAGTCTGAAATGGGCTGGCAGGGCTGGCTCCTTCCAGAGGATCCTGGGGAGGATGTGTTTTCTCATCTTGTCAAGCTCCTGGGGGCTGCCTGCATCACATCCCTTGGCTTGAGATCTTACATCCCTCTGACTTTGACTTCCATCATCACATCTCCTTCCTGGATTCTGACCCTCCCACCTCCCTCTCATAAGGGCACTCTGATCACATTAAGCCCACCTGGATAATCCAGGACAATCTCCCCATATGAAGCCCTCGTACGTTAATCGTACCTGCAAAGTCCCTTTCACCATGAAAAGTAACATTTATAGGCTCTGGGAATTAGGGCGTGGACTTTTCTTGGAGGGCAGCGGCATTATTCAGTCTACTACATATCCCTTCAAAAATAACCTGTTATGCTCAAAATAAATTTAAACTTCTTATGGTAGGCTCATGATCAGGCCTTTCTCTAAATCTCTAAATTCATCTTGAATCACATTTATTCATTCATTTATCCATTCCATAATATTGAGGACCTACTACATGCACATGGTTCTGTTGGACAAGGAAAGGAGACATCAGTGAAGAAAACAAAAATTCCCTGTGCTGGTGGCCCAGGTACCACACAGCTCTAGTCACTATGCTCCAGCCAAAATAGCTGTTTCTTCTTGAACACATAAGCTCCTTTGTGTCCCAGATCCCTGGACTTGCTGCTGCCTCATTCTGGAACATTCTTTCCTAGATCTTTCCATGGCTAATCCCTCTTCCATTCACGTCACCTTAAATGTGCTAAACTCAGAGAGGCTTTTCTGGATCAGTCTAATCTACCTTCCTAGATGCTTGCTGTCA